GTCGGCCTGTGCAGTCGGTAGTCTGATACGGGTTTTAAGCAACACTTGAACGGAGTCAGGACATAGATGGGTGACCGGTGATATACCGCTTGGGATCGAAATTATCGAGGGAAAATTCACGAAAGTTTGGAGTTGTATATTTGATACCTAGTAGTTTATGAGATATAAGAAAATTAGGCTGAGTTCCCACTGAGCGCGTCACGCGTCGCGTCGTCTGCCTGCGTCACGAGTTAACCAATTAAATCCTCTAATTGGGATGACGCGACGCACGACTCACTTGTTTTAATGGAACGATTTGATTGGTTAACTCGTGACGCAGGCAAATGACGCGACGCGTGACGCGCTCAGTGGAAACTCAGCCTTAGGAATTATAAATATGTTTTTTTAAATATTAGATTTAAATTATAGATTTTCTTATTTTTCACATTCGCACGATAATTCTTAGTATTTGATTACTATCAATATTTAATAGTGATTTTATTATCAGTATTCACCAGAAATTAAATACTGACGAAAAAATTACTGAATTACTGGTAATACATAATCACTAATAATTTTTTAGTATTTATTAGTATGATATTCCTGTAAGAGTGTTATCTGGGATTTTACTTTGTATAATAAAACATATTAATAATATTACATATATATTGCATTGCAATATTGCTGCACAGTTGCGTTTTATATTGCCGCAAGCGGACATTTTATCGTTGCTGCAATGTTGCAGTAGCATTGCAGCAACATTTTGCAACGTTGTTGCAATGTCACAATATTGCAAAACAATGATGTTACAATGTTGCTGCAACGTTGCTGTGCTGTATGGGATATAAGGGAGCGGTGCACTTGGACACGGTGCATTTGGACACAGCCAATCACAGCACTGTGTGATTAGAGACATTTGTAGGGTCCCTTGGAACAGCGACTTGTGATTGGACTGTGTCCAATTGCCCCGTGTCCAACTGATACACACCCGGGATATAACGTATAAATTGGAGGTTATTCTTGCTTACGAAATTTATATAAAGCGTAATATTAAAGCGCAAATATAAAGCGTTTAATATTAAAAATATTCAAGCCGTTCTAATTTAACTGTATTATTGTCTGTTTAATATAATTTGTATAATTATGTATATAAGGTTCTATCTTTACTGAAACCGGTCAAGCTGATCGGCATACATGACTTCTTATTCTTTATTGAAATAAAAATGAAACTAGTATGCCAATCAATCTGATGGGCTTAAATGAAGACAGAGCCCAAGAGTTAACTATTTTGGTAGTAAACTTTTATATTCACTATACATCTGCCATAATCAAGAATAATTGTAAGTCCAAATTTTAAGCAGAATAATTTTGCATGTGTGTATGATAAATTATAAAACATATTTAACAAATATGTATAGGCTATTAATGCCTTACATAATATTATGATCTTTATGTAATTTGGAGTACAGACAAGATACTTGTATGAGTTATTTTTTTTATATTATTCAGGTTTGCAGAAATTATATTAAGGAAATTATACGGGGAGGAATGCGTTTAACCATGTTTAATTACCATTTGCAGTGACTATTTAGTGGAAAAACTGTAAGCATCGGTCGCTATGAATGGCTGTGGTCAAGTACAATATCAAGTGGTCAAGTATAACGGATTCCTTCCATTTTTATTAATAGTAAGTTAAATTAAAAAAACAATCATCATTTGTTTTTATTAAATAGTATTATATTATTTTTTTACAAATTAACACTCGTAAATATATAACGTTTATTTCTTCAATGAATTAAAAATGCCTACAATTATTAATATTGTTAAATTATGTCTTTTGTATATATGACAAATAATGCATATAAGAAATTGTCACTTAGAAAAGGAAGGATCCCATCAAACACGGTGCGATAGCACACATATATTTACATCGGCTGGTGCTTAGAATCTTTCCACTAGATTATCAATTAAAAAAATAGTATATTAAATTAGCTAACTATCGATGTGAACTATCGGAATCGATTTATAAAAATTACATAGATATTTGTATATTACTTTGTTAAGAAATAATGAAGATGTAAAAAAAATTTTGTTTCCAAATGTGATGTGAAAGTTATACATTAATGCAGCTAACAAAGACATTGCAGGCCCTATCAAAATATGGTTAGCTCATGCCAAAGAGCGCATAGAGAGACAGAGCCATAAAGAAATTGAAGATATACATTAATATGTCTTTTAAGTTTTTGTTATTCAATTGGTATTTCATTTTATTTTTTAGTTTATTTTATTTGTGTTTCAACAGAGAACAAGTGTTTGTGAGATCTTTCCATTGTTTGCATTACATATATAAATTTAAGTTTTTCTTAAATTTGTATTTCGTTTTATTTTTCAGTTTATTTTATTTGTGTTTCAACAGAGAAAAAGTATTTGTAAGATCTTCCCATTGTTTGCGTTACATATGTAAATTTTTCTTTTCTTGGAAGATTATATTCTGAATTTTCAACAAAAATTTAATATGTAGTAAGTGCTTGTAATATGTTACATATATAATAAAAACATTTATAAAATTTAACAAAAAAAATTATTTAACCTAATGTAATCTAGGCAATACACACACACAGACACATACACATATACACACATATATAGCATAGTATATACGTGCATGATATACTGGTATATCATAAAAATATAATAATAACATTTTGTAGATATCCTTAGTATATACTACGGAATATTCTTAATATATACTATGAACCACTGTAGGGTGGAAATAAGATATTATTTCATATATACTCAGTACATCTTAGTACGTATGTCGAATGCTCCGAGAATATTAATAATATTCTGTTCAGATATACTCCGAACATTCTCAGAATGTACATGTTCCGTTAGGGATAGTAGATTCATATATTTAGTAAGGCGAAGATTTAGGCCTTGTTCCAAAATTTCACGGTCAGCTGGCAGTATTGAAAATCTATAGTATATATGACATAAATTATAGTTTGTTATCACTGACAGTAAATATTGGAACGTAGCCTTCGTAGAATTCTTATTTATATAGCGGTCTTACTAATCCTTTCGATATTTAAGATTTTTACTGTATTGTAGATTCATTTGTTTAGTAAGGCAAAGATAATTTAATAGATATATTCTCTATGGCAAAATGCAAAAGTATGTAAATGTGAAATATGTGTGTACTTATAATGCATTGCTTACATTTCTATGAATATATATAATCTTTGCTTTACTAAATAAATAAATCTATAATATACTA